AATTAATAAGCTGACCTAAATTTTGGGTGTTACGGTTTGTATTCGCTTGCGGACGGATGTGACTTTTCTTTGAATTTGCTGTTAGTAGAAAATGTGTTTTTGTGTGAGGGGATAGAGTAGGTTTTGCGTTATGTGCGGCGTGATAGGGTAGATGCGACTATCTCGGCCACGCTCGGGCCACGTGCGCGCCACGCGTCGCGTCCGATAATCTTCTTTGGCGCAGTCCTTTGTTACAATTTGTTGCTGCGATGCTAGATAGAGCCCGTGAGATCCGTCGATATGATTCGTAATGATATTTTAAATCGGCGCACTGAACGGGCTGTTTATTGACGCGATTATTGAGATACGATCTCGATTGTTTGGGAATTTATATTAAAACAACCTACATCACCCTTATTAGGTTATTATTGCCATATCCAACTTATAGTAGACTTGACACAATAAAAAATTTAACCAGTTTAATATTGAGACGATACAATACTAATGATTTAATATGTTGGAGTGCCCACCTAGTTCATTTTCTCATATTTCTTTTAATATGTTACCTTTTTTGATGTATTGTTATTTTTCTTATTCTACCCGTATCCAGGCGCTTCCCGCAAACTTCTCCAGGTAATATAAAAAAAAACTTCTCCAGCAGGTCATCAATCCATCGAGTAGGGTCTGCCTAAACTAAGTTTTCTAGTAACTACATCAGGGGTCAGTTCTACGAGCAAGGAGATTGACATTTATTACGTCTATATCAATAAAATACCCGACCTCTAGTCCCAGCATTCGTCACAGCATCGGGACGTCACCCAGCCCCAGTCTGCCAAAAAAATGGCCCCGCGCCCGTCAGCGCTAAGTGACAAGAAAATATCGCGACACAATGAAATAAAGTTGTCATCCCCAGCCCGGAGCGTGCTAAATGCATTAATTTGCCCTGGATTTAGTGGCCCGGAAGTGATTTGCAACGGGAACGCATGTTCTATGCGATATGACCCTGCCGCAACTACGAGCATGCACCCTCTTACCGCACTTTCTTTATTTTAACCGAAATTAAACTTTGTTACGATAACCACTAGATATAGTATCGAATGTAATTGGAAGGTAGGGACGTATGAATAGTTATTAGGGTTGGCGTAACTAGTTTTAGTTAAGGATCGTTACAGTAAAGGCTTAACTGCTAAGTCGTTATTGTTACACTTTTGAAGTATTAAATTAGCTGCTTCCATATTATTATTTTTACTAAGAATCAGGTGAACCTGATAAAAGACAGTAGCTACGAGTACATCTGGTATCTACTTGTATTTTCTAAGCCGGTCAAGGTTTATTATAAGTAAGTATCTAGTCTCTTATTAAATTCTTGAAGAGAGCGAACCCTGCCTATCTTTTGCCATGAAGTAAGGAAGAATCTTACTACGCCACCCGTTGCTACAACGACACTGGTTATTTAGAAAATTATAAACCAAAGTGTGTCATCTCCCTAGCCACAAATCGACTAAAAGGTATTTTTAACAGCCCTATCCCTATTTTATAATTTGTTAAGCTACTTGCTTAAAATTTTGGTTTAAAATGACATCATTGTTATTCTTATTTCATCATGATCGTGATCGTATTGTATCATGATATTAAATGATACTAGAAAACATTCCTTTGGTTGTCAAACCCATCAACCAGTCTGTATTAAAATTGATCCTGAAAATTCATTTTCCTAGCTCGATCCCATCCATTAGTGTACAGCCGCGCTCAAAAACTCATACCCTTTATACTTTAAAATCTTTCGCGCTTCTTTAGGGGTAAATATGCGGATAAACGTTAATATTCCTGCGAAGGAAGGGTTCCGTGACTTTGAATTGGAATAAAATTATGCAGGTTATTTGCATAATTTTATTTATTAAAACTTTGTTACTTGTGTAGACTGTAGGTAGGTACTTTCGAATGTTCCCTAATACCAGTTTCAGTGCTGTTTTAGTCTTTTCTTAACTATTTTAGATAAACAAGAAGATTTCGATCTTTGTTTACAGTGATAAAATTTAAGATTATAATTATTAAGATCCGTGCAATTATTAAGTTATCCTCCGGTCTTATAAATCATTTATTAGCAAACACTATTGACACAAAAAAATAGTAAAGTTGCGGTATAACTTTCGATCAAATTGTAACGTTTATCTATGGAAACTGATTAGGCTACTGTACTGATTTTATTTTTTAAGTTCACATGTATGTTTTTTCTTTTTTTTTCTGAAGAAATCTGGATTGATTTACAGTTATTTACAATTAAATTACAGTGAACTAAAAAATTAAAAACTAAGGTCGGTTTTTAAGTTTAGTGTCAATGCATTAAACTTTACTATTAATTTATTTATACCACTCGAGTGCTTAATTAATCTAGGAATTTTAAACATTTGGACTTTTAATTTAAATTTAGGTCCTCAGACTGACAATAAATGTTTAAAATGTCGCATTTGAGACCTATTGTTCCTAATTTTAATCCGATATAAGATTTTTTATGCAACTGTACCCACACATTATCATCGGGGTTTTCACTCATCGCTCGTTATGAAATCAGACGGGGCGCAGACGTTAATATATTCAACCTCTACACAACCCTTAAAACAATATAAGTGCCTCTACATATCGTAAACACAGACAGACACCGCCATATATGATGTATATCAACACACAGGGTTGTCAGATGGAGAACAATGTGTTACAACCTGTATATTTTTTGCAAATAATAATAAATAGTTTTTTTCCAAACCATAACACTAATACATCTTAAAATATTAATCACATTAATTAACAAACTTCGTTGTAAGCAAATTTGTTGTTCCCCTGACCTTCAAAAGAGGAAAACCTGAGCTTTGAAGGGTCAGTGGTAAAAGTTTAAAGTCTAAATAGAAGGACAAGTAAATCAAATGTTATTTTAGTGAGCCCGAATATACCTATTATGTATGTTGTAAATTATGTCAGTGTGTAAGTCAAGACTTCTTTAGCCTTCCTTAGTCTGGCTGAGGCAAAAAATATAATATCGTGACAGGAAAGAAAGAAAGGAAAAAAATGTTTTGGCAACAAACTCATGCAAGACTTACATAAATGGAAAAAGAGTTCTACAACAAAATCAGCTATATTTTATAGGAATTACAGGCTTAACCTTGCAGTTTATGATTTTACGAATAATTCTTAGAAACTTATATTATATCCTTGCCGTTATTAATTTAAGCAGCAACCCTACCGCGCTCATCCCTCACCTGTTTATGTAGGTACATAAGCGCCCCCAAGCTCCCCGCTGATAACTTAAAGACTTTATCCACTGTACAGGAATTTTTACGGTAACAAAAGCCTTCATATTTTCTTTATTCATGCCGTGTCAAAATCGCCCGCTTCCCCCTCGGAGACGAAAAAAGAGATAACAGACTAACTCTTTCGCACTCATTACAATTGGGTATGGCCGTCTCGTTTCTAGATTTCTCTCTGTTTCGGTTTTATGTTTTTCGCCGATATCTTCGGTGAATACTTGGCGTTCTTTTTAAATGTCACAGACAGGGTGATGGCGCGTGGTTCTAATTAATTTATGTCCAAAGACATAGTAAAAGGGTGTTTAATATCCCTTAAGGCGAATCGTAAAGTAGACGTTTTTGTAGAGTCATGGTTATTCAGCTTTCGGTACGTTAATTTTTATTGGAGCTCTTAAAATGCCTGAGATATTTTGAGATTTTAGTTGTTATGCCAATGTTAATAGGTTCAACAACACCTACTGTCTCTTTAAATAAGCACGTCTTCGTAATAAAACGATAGAGAAGAAATTTCTAGTAACGCGGTAGGTAACTTTATTTTATCAAACATATTTTCTTACATCACCCGTACGGTCGACAGCAAACTATTATACATTTCTGTTGCAAAATAGCATTTACTACAACTAAATAAGATGCCCCAGTGTTTAGTTTCATGTGCTATCAGACTATAAAATAAATAATTACGTCATGCTTTTAAGGTAGGCTAGATGAACCACTTGCACTTGACGTACAATAAGTAGCATAGCTAGGCTTATTCGAAGCTTAAATTTGCTTCAGCCTATACCTCTCAAATTAAGAAAATTCAATACCTTTATAGGGACTACTCAATACACTCTACAGAGCTCAAAAAATCCATTGAAAAAACATCACCCTGTGCAAAGAAAGACGTATCGACGACTAAAGGATGTCCCAGAAGGGAGCGGCCCCGTATTCAAAAAGGGGAAAAAATGAAGAAAAAAGTTATAACGTCATATTGTTTTGCCACGAAGGGGTGGGGAGGCTGTATAGTGGCGCGATAAGACGAACATATACCGCTATAGCTGCTATAGATACGGCATCTATTGTGTTTTACTGCTTTGCTTTTATGTGCATATACTTTTAAAAAGGTGTTTCGCGGATGACGACGAAGGATTTCGGATAAAACGGTGTCATTTTAGTGCGTGATAAAAAAACTATTCGGCATTTTACGTAACCGTCATAAAGTTGTCGCTGTAATCGCATTATGCTGTGTACTTACGCCTTTTTACGTCTATTTAATTGATGCAAGTTTAAGTTTTGATTCGTCCAATAGCAGATAACGGTGGTGTCTAAAAGCCTGTAAATATATTTTAATAATGAAGAGAGGGCAAATTTTGTTATACAGCCATAACTACCCGTGGACATAATTTGAAAATAACCTACCTATACAAAAGCCAAAGGTCACTGACTGACTCAATGATCACGATATCTCAGAAACTACAAGTGCTAGGAGTCTCAAATTTTGCATGGAACTATTTAGATCGGTGCTCACTAAGACGGGATTTTGACCCTAAGGGGGTAAAACGGAGTCCATGCGCACGAAGTCGAGGGCGGCCGCTAGTATAATAGAGATCCAAATTCGTATGCTCTCTTTTGAAGACCATTGTGGTCTCCGGTTAGTTAAAGTCAGAAGAGGACACTGTAATGAATGAAACTTTCACCTAAGCTGCACAGTAATAGTAACAATCATAAAGCTGTACTCACACTAGGTATGTTATCGGATGTGCAGACTCCTTCACTAAGGAGGCGGTCCCTGATCTCCCACGCGAAGATGGATGGACATTCCCGCTTGTACTGCGCAATCTTGCTGACTACCTCCGCCGTGGCCACTCTAGGCTTCGACCCGCCGATGGCCCGTGGCCTGATGGACCCCGTCTCGTAGTACCTGGAAAAAACGACTGGTCAGGTACTTCTTGGCTTTTACTGCATTTTGGAGGTCTTTAAACGTTTTTAGACTTTTTTTTTCAATTCTTTAATTTGACTTTAAAAACTGGTGTAAAAATGTAATAGCTTTGAAATGATTTTACTTTACTTTTTTAATATTTTTTTTACTGTAAATAAAAACAAACCAGTGAAGGTTGAGGTCTGGGCTAAATTGAGGTTTTTTGAACCCGAAACGAAAATGAGAAAGTTAATCGATCTTTTAAAATCTGACTTTTGGACAGTGCATTCAAAAAGCCATAAACATGGGAATTCACATTAGTAAGCTTTAAGTGGTACTTACATAGACTTTAGAAGACAACCAGAAGATTAAACGCACAGCAAAATCTAATAAATCGTGTTTGTCAGTGTTACTCATCAGAATACTATACCAGAATCAGTGGATCTCTCGTGTGTGAAACTCACGGTGACGTGCACTTATGGCTCCCTTCGCAAGTTCATAAATTGGCTGAGCAGAGGTTATTTAATTTTAAAAATGGGTAATAATAATCCTGCTGTACCAAGCAAGATTATAACTAAAGAAATAAAGTGAAACTTACCTTTTTTGTGATGATTGAACTATCTAATCCAGTTTACAGATAAACAAAAATATTTAAACTTACCACAACAGTGGATGTGAGTGTCTAACTATAAAATTGTTACAGTAGCTCAGTGAACCGAGAAGTCAGGAAGAAAAGTTCGTAGTTTCAAGTTCTATCCGCTGTTGATTTTTTCAATAGAAAAATCTGTTAATTCTTTGTCACCCCACGTAAGTTGTAATAAACAAGGACAAAGTCTGGCGATTTGTAAAATGTGATCTACCTGAGAATCGAATTCAGTTCCAAAAAGAAAATCGATCAAACAATTATATTGGTCAACAGTTCGTTGATGTCGTTTGTACTAAGCGACGTCACCGAACCACTAAAGTCAACGAAATTAAATTTATTTATGTCACTATTAACATAAAAACATTAATATTTTAATTTTGTTGCGATCCTTATAAGTATAAGCTTACAACCAGTCGCCACTCGGCGTATCATGATGCCTTTAAGCGCGGGGGTGGCCGAGTGTTGGGTTTCTGCGCGATGGTATCAGGTTCGAGTCCAGGAAAATAAGAAGTGATATTATTTGTCAGCTGTTTTATACGGGCTTTTTAAAGTTTACGTTTAAAAATAGGTTGCGCAGACAACTTTTTTGTAAACATCATACTTAATCTCTTTTTTTGTATTGGGATTTCTTATTTTTCCTTAAACGACACAAAATCTATACAGCATAAAGTAAGCAGAAATTTGGCACTTAAAATGCTAAATATGTCGAGAAAATCAATTTGAACCCACGACTTTTCGCTTATAAACCAGGGCTGGAGACTGCTCTCATCTCTTAAAACCGATTTTTAATTTTAATGCTATATTTTTTGCCTTAGCCTCGGAAATCAAATCATACGGAACCACGGCCTAAGGCAAGTTTTTAATGAGCAGGTGACCCAGATATTTGATTGGTTTTTTATCCAACGATAGTAAATCTAGCGGTTTGGAGACAACTTTTCATTGTCGCAACTCGGTATTGTATCAACCGCAAATACAAAAACTAATAGACATTCTCCGTCTCAAATCTCAAAAATAGACTTCTCAGGTTACTTATCATACAAGACCAACCTTCATCATCACCTTGGCTGTCTAGTTCAGACGCCATTTTATCCTGACACGTGTCGACATACGCTTGTCATTGGTTTAAAGATCTACGTATGTTGGATTTTAGAGCCACGTAGTCTGAACTAGTTGGTGAAACAATGTCTGCTAGGGGCGAGGTCTTATTAGACTGGTCGATCAATATGTGGTTTTGCTCTGCACATGATCCTGTGGTCAGGACCAGTTAGGCGCTGGATAAGTTACCGACTGCATTTTTGGGATGGTTCAGTATAATGTTGCTGGGTAATATTTGCGGTTAGGCCAGCTATTCGGGCCTTTAGAAATAGTTCCGATTTACAAGATAATGAAATTGATTGTTTACTTACTTGTTCGAGATGGTTCTTGAAAAGACTTTGATGTCAGACGTAGTTTATGTTTATTATTTGTAAAAAAGGCTGACTTTTTATATAGCTAATATAGATTTTCCCCTAAGAGCTCTAGCTCCAGGAACTTCGCTGAGATCCAACTGCTATATAGTGGGTAAGAAGAGGGACGCGTTCACTGACTGATCTGCCGAGGATCCTGGACACGCAACCGTTAGAGTCCCGCAGAATGCAGCTGACGTCATAACCGGACTCCTGCGTATGCCAGCTTCACGATGATCCTCGTTGTGACGCAGCTGCCTGGGTCTGTATAATATCTTTATGAGAGGGTCGTGTTCAAGTGACTGACCTATCCAGGATCTTGGACACGCTGACGTTGGGAACCAGCAGGATTCGGCTGTCATCACATGGAGGGGCTCCGAAGAGCTCTAGCTCCACGAAGTAGCTGTCTAGGTGTTATTGGAGTAAGAAGGATGTGTTCAAGCGACTGACCTGCCGAGGATCTTGGACACGCAGCCGTTGGAGACCTGCAGGATGCGGGAGATGTCGCACGGCCGCGCGCCCGAGTGCGCCAGCTCCACGATCTTCTGCCGCGTGGAGTCCGGCAGCGGCCGCCCTCCTACAAACACGCCGCCGAGCTGATTAACGCCGCTGTGACCTGCCGCATCATAAGCCTGCTTACTCCAATTAATCACGTCTTTTAGCAATTGACACATAGACTTGCTAATGCAACAGGTTTGGGGATTGAACGAGCGGCGTAACGTAACGTTAGTGTGCTGTGGTGCTGTGCTGTGATCTGAGTGAGGAGTAAGGTACCTTACTTCTTATTCAGACTTTAGGGACTAAAGAAACAATAAAATTAAACAATATTCATTAAAAAGATAACGGGGGAGAAAGAAATAGTGCATCTGTGTGACTAGTTTTCATATGAAAAATCTTTAGGTTACAACTAAGGGTCAGCAAAAAGTTGGGTCCATTAAAACATAAAAATAAAGTCAATAAGGTAGTCAAACTTTTTGCTTGTATCATCAAGATGCTAAATTAGGTACGAGTATAACCTATAACCGTGATATTCTAGACGATATTTTTCTCATGAGGATACTTAGGAGAGTGTTGGAGAAATAATATCATCAAACCAATCAGTAGAAAATTGTGTTCTCGATTTTAATTGTGAGAGTGGATTAAGAAAATGTCTTTCAGTTTGGGTGTTTCAGATAGTCAAATCGAGTAGATTCATTGATCATCTTTGATAATGTGTGTATAACTCTCGTCACTTTCTCGTTCATCCATGTACCTATCATCTAATGATGCAATTAATATGTTTTTTTCGATCAAAGAAAGCACGATAAATATTGCTTTCTTTCAAATTAGATAAACTCTCTTCTACCAATACTGAAAAAACCTTTAAAAAAAAACGAAAAAATCGAGAAGTGCGATCCATGTATGTGTCTTAAACTGCCTGATAACCAAGACAGAAAAATGTATGTGTGAGTTATTATAGGGAAAGTATTGATTCAACCGAGCGCGTCGGGGCCGGGACGAGGGCTGCTACGCCTCATTGAGGGCCTCTTGGTCCTAATAATATGTATTCGAACCACTTATTGCTAAATTATGGTGTGTCCCATTAACTTGTAGTTTTATCAATTACATTTGATAATGGGTTAGGGGAATTGGTTTGGTTGGGTGTTGATTTGTGAACGTAGATGTGTGGAATGAAATTAATTAATGTCTCTACGGTGTATTTTTAAATAGTTGACTTTTTGAATCAATGGATATTGTAAAGCAATTAATTTCATAGTAAGTACTTGTAAATGTAGCCTGAATTGTTCATGAAAAATATAAAGTTAATTATTTAGCCTGAATACAGCCTTGTTCGTAGAAGTTTTATATTAGCCTTAATTCAATCGAGAACACAAAACTTGAGTTAGTTGATAATTATAATGTACCTAATCTCTTACTTGTAAGAGAAATAATGATATAAATAGTAATGATTTCGCCTAATCGTTTAAAAATGGACGGCACAGCATAAATTAGGTAATAGGTATGAAGTTTTTTCTTTGGCCGAGGTGTTGTAATAAATAATTGAACTATTTTATAAACTATGATATTACATCCGATTCTGCCGGCAACGGTCGGTCGTCTTGCTCTCTCTCTAAAGGTATATTCACACTATTACAGAATGTGCGAGAAACGATGTGTTATGCTTTGGAAAAGAAAATATCTCATAAAAAATCTGGACATTCTAGGCCTATTTTAGGTCATTAGAAATTGCACCAAAAGCGTTTGAGTGAATTTGAGACGTGCTGTTTGTATTAAGATGCAGGTTGGTCCTTATAATTTCTCTTTGGCCTCTTAAAAGTCGTTTCGCTTTCAGAGCGAAATGTAAATCGTCGCCTGAGTGAAAACCTCGGGAATGCATTTTATGCATGTTATGTATTTCGGTTCGGGAAAATTACTTATTTTACACAGGTTTTTACTCTAAGGCGTCGAAATGACTTAACCGGACTTCACTTCAACTGGACCTCATCGGATATGCCCTAAGTATCGCAATATGAGTGTACTTTTTCAGTTAGCACTTTATTACCGACAAATGCTAGTAGCAGCAACAATAACAACTGTTCAATTCAATGAACTCAGACCGACCGTAACCAGTAAGATAGGTAAAATGGCAGTCACCATTACCTTTACCTTTGTGCGCCAGGTCGTCCATGCGGTCCAGCAGGCTGCCGTCGGGCGGCCACGGCGTGATCGGCGGCAGCTGCTGCGCCGGCAGCATGGTGTATACGCCGTACTCTTCTATGGTGGCGGCCTGCGGTTAAGTGGGATTTATTTAAAGTTCAAATTCAAATACACTCGCGAGCAAAAATATGGAATCACCCTATTTGTTTCGAGCGATCACAACAACTAAATGACAAATAAAAGACAAATAAAAATGGCACCATTTTAAAGGCAATATTATAAACTTTAAATTGATACCACAGATAGATACATAATCATTCGGTTCTTTAGATCGCTCGGTACAAAACATATGGGGTTGATTCCATACTTTTGCTCGTAAGTATATTTATTTGCACAATTTTGGGTAAACATAGTGGTCTTAAAACTAGTATAAGTTGATCGCCAAATTTTGCTGTATAATTGGTCAGCGTACAAATATTTAAATAATTTCTACAAGAATAAATGAATAGTTGAAAAAATCAATAGTCTCAGGTGGGAAGTGGGAAAGAGAATACATGATCTCTCTTGCCGGATGACTGTTCTGACCACTGAGCTACGGAAACATTGGGTAGGGTAAACTCGTCGTTAACTCTTCTTGAGCTAGTTTTCTTTAATTAATGACCATTGCTTACAATTTACAAACCATACTGTTATGTGAATAATGTGGATCTAAACGGAAAATTACATATTTTCTACATCTTAAATATACTTTAGGTACTTTAACTAGGATTTTTTTTATTTTTGGAAATTTTGATAGTTACAAATTATTTTGATATTTTTTCCAAAAACATGTAAAACTGAACTATTTAGAAACTGTTTTTTTTTTCAGTAACATACTACATTATAGACCATACTCATTTATAATATCTCAAAAATACAAGTGAGATACCGGCCAAGAACTTCTTCGTTGTGGATAAAAAAAAAATCTTCCCACTCAGATAATTCGGTTGGAAGACCAAAATTCGAGATCCATAGTACATTTTTACACCCTGTATACATTGAAATTATACAGAAATAAAACAATAATAAGCGGAATAAATAATACCGGTATTACCGAACCAAGTAATTAACGACCAACCGATATTTTATTAATTTAATTTAATTCAACGAATGTTCATTGAAATATGAACGAGTGCAATTTGTAATAATTTTATTTTGGAGCACGAAATAAGTACGCTTTATTTTTGCTGGGAAAACGTATTGTATTATATTTTATTCGATGAATTAATTTGAGCGCACTTATTTGAAGAAAGAAAGAAAAATTGTGTACAAAACTGGTTTTTCTGGCGGATTACCTCGCGTTTAATTCGGTCTGACACGAAAATATTTTGTCGCAGGCAGATTTTGCGATTAATAAACAATTAATAAAGTTAAAAGATATGATGAAAAGTAGATTCTAGATACTAAGACATATAAATATTCACATCCCTTAGATTAGAAGCTCAATTCGTTTACGATCGACTGTAAAAATTTGATGCTTAGAAATTAATCGACTCACCAAGAAGGAAACTTAAGTAAATGGCGTCAAGTACCATATTGGCTCAATAATTTTAGTTTGAAAATGCATACAAACGGTCAGAGTTTCAATAATATCGGTGCAAGTTTCTATTGAAAGTGCCCAGTAATATAAATAAAAGTATTTAGTTAATATAAATAACTAGCGGCCCGCTCCGGTTCGCACGGTTGCAATGGAATTTCCCTGGCTTTTCTCTCGTTTAATGCATGTTTTATACCCTATAAACCTTCTTCTTGAGTCACTCTACCTATTTAAAAAAACCGCATCAAAATCCGTTGCGTAGTTCTAAAGATCTAAGCATACATAGGGACAGACAGCGGGAAGCGACTTTGTTTTATACATGTAGTGATAGTCAATGATTGCTCCTCTTATCGAGCTAGCTAGGCGAACTAGTTATTGATAGTTACCTAACATAATCATACATAGGGGAATGATTTATATTTTTGTAACAACTCAAAAACTACTGAACAGGCTTCAAAAATTCTTTAACCATTAGAGCCACATTATAGTAGCTAGGCTTTAGCAGACCTAGAAATTCACGCAGGTGAATCTGCGGGTATAACCTAGTGAAGTATAGTCACGGTATAGTTGTTGCAATTCACGAAGGCGAGTGAGCTTTATATGTGGTTGCTCGCTACTGTTTGTTTTTAAAACTTTTTGATAGACATATTACACTATCGTTATGTGCATGTACACACACACACACAAGTAAAGCTCACTCGCTTTCGTGAGTTGCAAGAACTACTAGTATCTAACTAATATTATAAATGCGAAAGTAACTCTGTCTGTCTGTCTTGCTTTCACGCCTAAACCACTGAACCGATTTTGATGAAATTTGGCATAGAGATAGTTTGAGTCCCGGGAAAGGACATAGGATAGTTTTTATCCCGGTTTTTTAAACTGGGACGCGCGCGATAAAGTTTTTCTGTGACAGACAAAATTCCAAGCGGGCGAAGCCGCAGACGGAAAGCTAGTTTATAATAAAGGCAAATGTGTCATAAATATAATGTTACACATTTAAAAACCTAGTCAACATTTCCATTCATATTCATATGTGAGTGCGTGCACAAAAATAATTCAACAACATGGTTAATCAGAATTAAATTTCGCCGATGCGTTCATGCGTTAGAACGCCAATCCATTCGCATAGTTGTTTTTGAAAAACATGTGTGAAATCCGTTGCGATGGACTGAGAGTTGCATATTTAGTATTTGGTTTATTATATGTGGATAATGTGTTGGGATTCGTTAATGATGAGCTGGTGAATGAACTGTATACGATGTATAGAGACGCCGTGAACAGTGGTAACTTGGGTTTTCTTTAAATAATATATTTTTTAAGATTACTACATTTTCACCCAGATTTTTCCTACGATTGTGATGCTCTATGAGCTAGCTTTCCCGGATCTCCCTATCTAACATAAAGTTTGCTATGAGAAATAGGTCAAAACATATTTTTTTAATGTGTATTTATAATTCTACTATTTTTTAAATGGGATTAGTGCTATTTAAGCGATTCGGAGTTACCTACTGTTCATTTTTCATAATGGAATTAACTTTCTATTTTTAATTAAAACTTAGGTATGCGTAAAAGGTTTAACCCACGTTATAATAAGATCACATTAATACACCGTTAACAGTTACTTATTTTTTAATTTAGAACCTTCATCATCACAACGCCGACTCTTCAAAAACAACAAAGAATACAACCTTCACGTGGAACGACTAAAAGAAGTAAACGGATTTAAAAAACATAATCTTATCATCAAAGAAGTATTGCGATCTGGAACAGATCCAATAATTTATATCAATAATCCGGTAGAATCTAAAATACCAAATGCGTATCTAACTTTAGAAGAATTCAAAAAAATACTTAGTGAGAGAGTTAAAAAAGAACAAGATTCGTTCAAAATGTCAACGAAATACAAAAAGATAGCAAACACATTTTACAATACAATAACTACAAGAAATCCAATTAATACCAAGGAAAGAGTGTATAAGACAATATCAAATAAGGAAGATACAACAAAGATTAAGAACAAGCCTCCTACCGAAGAACTTAAACCGAAATCATTGAAATTCAATACATCAGGTTTTCCAACGAATGTTGTTCCTACACGAACTTCAACTACGACAACCACGACGAATAATATAGACAAAAGTGTAGACAAAAATGTAACTGAAACACAATCGGTAGATACTTCGATAGACCACCAAATTAACACAACTCCAGGCATATTTACTATCGTTAACAATACAATAATGGAAGATGATAACAATGTCACACAGAATACAATAAGAGAAGAAAACACACATTTAGAAGAAAATAATGATGACAAATCAAATGACGCTACTTTAGCATTAAAATTGATCACAGATGGTCAAACAGAAGAACCGTCTAGAAGTGTGGCAGTAGAAGAAACAACAGAAGAAATACAACCTCATATTTCAACTGTTACAAGTACCGAAACTACCACTTTTAGTACAACTACGACAAGATCGAGAAAATTGAACGTAAGTATTGCTTTGTTAATTAACTTAACACCTAAATTTAACGGTAACTATTACGAAAACCGATGTTTTTTTTGTATGGAGTTTAACAGATTTTTGACGTTTGTCACAGTTAAAGGAAGATGGTGCAACTCCGCCTAATTTTTTCAACTATCGCATCCACTATCCAACTTTGTTTCTTTGAATAGTACACTACGCTAAAACGCTCTTATATATCTGAAAACAGAGTTTGTTTTCAAATGATGTCAAATTCGATAATAGCTTAGAAATCAATAACTACACAGTGAACTGAGTTCACAAACTAGTGTTCTTACGAGTTATTTCTTTACGAAATCTATGGGAGATTTTAAAAGCTCGTAAAAAGTGTCAACTGAATAGTGGCACAGATTACTAATATAATAAATGTATATGTACATAGCCCTAAACAGTAATTAAACTTACATTTAACGATGAATGCAAACTACCACCACTACCGAAGTGCCGAGTCAGGCGGCTGTCAAGAAATACTTTATTTTAAAGTTGACAGCACATTATGACATATATGTATTTAGATTGATATTTTTTTAACTGGGTAAACTTTGTGGGCTCTGTCACATTGACATTTAGGTCGTATATTTGTGAAAAATATATCGAAATGAAAAAATCCCAACTAATATTATAAATGCGAAAGTAACTCTGTCTGTCTGTCTGTCTGTCTGTCTGTNCCACGTTGTATAGTCTAGTTATTTCCAAATTGTAAACGGCTATTAAACCAGCCCTATCGAAATACAGTCCACTCTTTTATTTAAGTTCCCAGTAGGACCCTTTTCATGCGATTAATTCAAAAAATTTCATGATATTAAAATGTATTAAGTAGAATCGCTTTGCCATTGACAGATACATCTGATGACAGAGCTTACATTATTTCTACTTTTGACCACCATGAGCGCTGCGATAGATTATGTTACCCCCACCTAGTACTTCGCACCCAGCGAATACCTATTACCCATTTTTTTGAATAATATTACTGAGTTATCTAGGTGTTTTAATTTCTACACACGAATATTATGTGAAGTTTGCGAGTTTGTTTGAAAATTCTTTCACCAAAGTTTTTCTTGAGTGACATAAGCTATTTTTTCCGTGACTGATTTCTCTCAAATACAATGATACTTTTTAACACGCTTTTCTTAGGTCATCGTGTATGTAACTATGTAATGGAATCTAAAAATCTAAATTACACGCACTTTTAATTCTTGTAACATCATGAAACTTGGCAATTATAACTATGTAGATTAGATGACAATACAATATTATGGTATCATCGAGATGGTCTTATGATGGGACTGGAAGGTGGCCATAGGAACTCCTAAACGAAACGGCGAAATCGCATCGAGTTCGGGATCATTAAATTTGTCTTTTCAAGCACTTTAGTGCTAGATGATGTCTAGGATGCTGCCTTTTAGTGCAGTAATTAAGAGCGTGTTTTTAGTTTTTTAAACTTTAATTTTTTATTATAAGGTTTTTAGTTAGCGTTGCGTATACCTTCTTTTGGTGACAGTCGAAGTTAATATTAATAGGGTAGAGTTTACATAGAGGTGTTCGATTTGCTATACAACTTTGTAAACGGATAAATAAATTTTGGTGAAAATTGTTTATTGTTCTTTAATGCAATTTTTGAAATGTTTACGTGAAACTAATTTAAATGTTTTTCAATACGTTTATTTATCTAGTTATTTTTATAAATATGAGTTGACTTTGGCTAGTAGATTACTCGGATATTTAAATGATGTTTTTGTCTCATCATGTAAATATTGTAACAGACTGTTTATACTAAGAAACACCAATAAGAATCGTATACGACATGTCATGCCATGTTTATACGCAAATAAAGATTCTGATTCTGATTCTATTTAGATTACTATTATTTACTTTGCTACGAGTTATAGTTAAGTTAAATTTCGTAGCGCAGCGCTACTAATAGTGCGTTGAAGTTTTTTGTATGAAGACTTGCTAGTTTTCCCATATTTATTTATGAAAGTAAGCAATAAGGATTATTCTTATGAATCATATTGATATTAATTAATAGATATTATTTTAAATAATGTTTGTTTTTCTTTTTCAGAGACCGAGGGTGTTTGTTGGACGATGACAAAATAAGTTTGTATTAAAGACACTAATTTTTCTACATCAATAAATACATAACTTTAACTTCCAATGTCTCATTATCTTTTAAATATCTATTTTTATTAAATTTTGTAGGTAAGTATCAATAGAATATGTATATTTTCCTTTTATTATACAAACACAGTTTCTAGATTTCTTTTATTTGTATAAATTCGCACGTACGTCTTATCATTAATGATAAAGTAAATGAGTCTACTATTTCATAAAAAGCTTCACTGTAGGTATTCCCTGTAAGTTTTTTCTTATCCGAAAAGTAAATAAACTTACTTTAAGTTACTGGAACTAATAAATCCAAGTTATTGCCAAAGCAATAACTGAGGCAATCTTCAACTGGCCGATTCCACCATCACTGTCAACAATACATTTCGATTCGCATTCAAAACGCTATCACTGCAGGCTGTACGGCTTTTTATTCCTTGTACTGCTCGTCCGAAAACTTAAAATTACGTTCCCGCCAAAACGAAACGTCAAAACGTCAAACGCGCAGACATTGTGCCTTCTATTCGACAATAAAGGCGGCACTTCACTGATTACACAACACAATCTCACGTGGAACTCAACTGGCTGTCTATACCTTTATAACTAGAAGGGCGACTCTATTCGTCTATAGTCAAGCGGGACAGAGACAGCGATATTCCTGAGTGTCAACTCCCATTGTAAGCCGCTTACTGCATTTAGGACTGCTCATTTGAGCGAAAGAGACGCATAGCTTCCGATTATTCAGCTTTAATTGACGCCCCGCCCTTTCCTCATTTAACCCCCCGGTGGTGGGGTGAACTTGGGCACTTTTAAATTATCTATTATAATAAAATTATTTCGCAAAATAAGGGGTTGGTTATGGTAATGATGTGTTTAATTTATGTCGATGTCTTTATCTCTGAATACTTCAGGTGACAGTTATGGCTGCTCTTGTTAAATCATATTGTAAAGCCTTGTTATGACAAGATACTGTTCCATAGTTGTTTCTTGAAAACTTTTTGTTTTTCGAAGTCTTATTAATTTTTACGTACCCACTCATACTACTAATTTATTACCCGTGTGCATAACGATGGTAAACAAAAATAATGTTCATACATAAATATTTCATCATTCATTATCTTATTATTTATTAAAAATTTAAATAAAATGCACTCGCGAGATTATTTTTTATTTTTAGAGCCGGTAATGCAATCCTTTAAAGCCCATGCGGTCCTTTTCCCCCAACCACCAAAAAGGCTTTTGCTGTTGGTTTTCCATCCCGCTTTTTCGCTCGCTCATCATATTTTCTGCACAACTGTGTTATTCTAATCGAAGCAAAACGGGCTCTATCTTTTGCCAGGTAAGGTTTATTTTGTAGAGATGACCCTCTGAAGCTTCTGTCAACATTTGCGGTCGAGTTTCGCGGTTTATCTCCCCCGCACAAAATTGTTAGTCACACAAACATTATCTTTGACCAATGGCACGTAACCGCGAGCCTTTTACAGCCAATCAACGCGCTTCAAATTTTCGGTTTCGCGCGCTTTCGGATTTGAATTTTGTTTCTTTTGTTCGATTTTTGAATTCGGATCGTTTTGTGTAGCGGCACTTTTTCGTATTGCTCTATTTTTCTGAATGTTAATGGCTTTTTAGTGGTGTCGTCTTTGTTTCATTAGATTATGAAGCATAAAAAGCAGCGTTTGGATGAAATGGTGCAAGCAAAAGTGCAAACTTCATCTTCTACAAAGATTCATAATGGTTTTAAAGCTACTTTTGACAATAAGAAAACAGAAAACGAATACAACAAGCGAACAACTAGAATATCAATGCGACTCTACATTTACTAAATTAGTCTCCAAGTCTTCTAAAATGTAAGTCTTAAAATGGCCCTTAATAAAAACTTAATAGGTACATATAATAAGCCCTTGTTAGCCACTTAATTATGACAATATCCATGGATGAAGGAGGTGGGTACTTCTCATTTACACTCAAATTTGATGGTCACACAATAATAGTTCATAAACGGTATAAGTTAGAACAATAACTTTGAAATCAGATGATAAAATATCTATTTAGCTACATACAAAATAAATTTTATCGTAATAGAAGCAAAAATAATACGAAAACATCACATGAAACGATAAAAAACGGGGTGATTTTTCGCGTTCTCATCGTGTCACACCTTCGGTTGCAATGAAACATTTGGTTACTGCATTCACAATTTTCATTCAATTTGTGTGTAGCATATACTAAAATCATCGCAATTAAATATACTTTCCACACAATAGTCAAAAAAATATCTTCTTATAATTATTTCGAATTGAGAAAGCAAAATATGTTGGTCACACGATTTTAGGTACCTAAAATTTTGAGTAATAATACAAGATTGCCGTTAAACCGAAAACCAACAACCAATCACAGCGTTCTATTTGGTTAACGTCAGTCGCGCTCCGGCCATTGGGGAGGTGAGATAGGTCGATCGTCGCTCCGTGAAAAAAATACGTAACTTTTTGTGATTATCCATAGACATACCGTCGCTTGCTTGAACAATGTTTTCTACCTCTAAAATTAAAACAATTTAATTGAAACTTAGGCCATTGAAAACTTAACATGTTAGACTTATTTGTGTAGTATTCGACTTGAACCGTTAAATTCAAATTTAAGGATAATTCATAAAAAACTAAAATTTTCGTCACCTTCGTGGCATCACCTTCGTGGTGTTTTATACACGAAGGTGATTTTAGGCCACGAAAGTGATTTCTTGCTTTGGTTTATTTTAAAATATAGTGACTGGTGTTTATGTTTTTACAATATTTTAATAACTAATAAATTATACGTGGTAAGTAGAGTTCAGTACATCAATAAAAAAATAAGGGCCTCGTATTTTTGTTGTCTGTCTGTCTGTATGACTGTATGTATGTCTGTATATGTGACTGTGTATCTGTTTGTAAGATAAATTTAATCTGAAGTTTGAGTTAAAAGTTGTACAACAAAAATACGAGGCCCTCTGGCCTAAATAAAAAATATATTTTTGTTGAGGGACTGATAATCAGTTAGAGTTCTTTTTTATTGAGGTACTGATAATCCGTTTTTTGCTTCTTTAGCATTTCAGAATGCCACCAGTGTCACCCTTAAAACCAATTGCGTAGAATCTTGTAACTTAGTAGGTGACGTAATCGGTAAAATTTTATCTTGTATTTAGGTAGGTACCTCTTTATATTATGTTATTGCTATTTATCTATGAAAATAAGGCAAAATGTATGTTTTATAAACACTTACGAGTCATTTACAGTAGTAAAGTTTGAAAAAATTATTGCTGTGAAGTACAGAATCACTTTCGTGGCATCAAAAAATTCAAAACGTTAAAGCTTCCAAACGAGACTCACTATTTGACTGATTTACTGAGAATACAATCTTCACATCAAGCGCTACAATTTTTGTTTACAAAAAGTTGAAATAAGTTAGAAATAAAATTTGCCACGAAGGTGACGATGAGAACCGTGGCGATGAGAAATAGCCAGGTATAAGAAGGGACAGTAGCCTCAGCGGAAGAGGGACGGCCGCACGTCCTCTTTGCTGCTCAATTTGCCGAAGAAACGACAACATTCTTCGCTCGCCAAGTATGGACACGGCATCGACTTAAAAGGAAAGAGTAAACTTTTATTTTCGGGCAGCGCAGGACCGTGCATTGTGGAAAACCTTGGAGGAGGCCTTTGTCCAGCAGTGGACGTCATTTGGCTGAAACGAACGAACGAACGAAACTTTTATTTACAGCTGAATTTTTTATTTATTTTAATGTCATAAGTCTCTAAAATTTCACTTAACAAAGTGAACCCTACAATCTTCTTCGATTTTTTTTCAAATTGTTTTTTTTTTCGAATCATATCAGCCATAGGTATTCAGTGAAGACCATTCCCATATAACACTAACCCCTAGGCTACACACATCGCGATAACATTCGGGCGATAAAAAAGCACCGAAGTATACGCTAATACTTAGCTCTCTACACACACATCGCGACAGCGCGAATCTTCGGGTCATCGCGATGAGTGTAGCCTAGGGGTAATAAGAATGAATAATTCACCATGAATAACACTTTATCTACTTTGACAAAATCAAAAATATCGGTGTGGCAGTCCCTCTGCGTTATTAAGGGTTCACTTCTTGGCCCCCTCTTATTTATTATATTTGTGAACGATATAGGTAAGTGTTTCCAAAACTCTGAATTTGTATTATTCGCGGACGACATGAAAATACTTAAAAAAATTGTCAATTTAAATGATTCGATGTTACTACAACATGATTTAGTTCGTTTTCAAAACTACTGCATTCATAACAAGCTGGATCTGAATGTATCCAAGTGCCAAGCTATTACTTTTACTCGAAAAGCTAATCCAACCAAATTTAATTACACTTTTAATAACCATAGTCTAGCTCATGTCGACCATATAAGGGACCTGGGAGTGATCCATGACTCGAAACTGCTGTTCGATGGACATGTGGATTATATAGTTAAGAAGGCCTCAAAGGCTCTTGGTTTTATTATGAGATCATGTGCACGCTTTTCCAATCTAAAACCTATAAAAATTTTATACTGTTCCTACGTTCGTAGCATCCTCGAGTATGCGTCTCAGGTCTGGAATCCCCAGTACAAAGTATACTGTAACCGAATTGAGTCCATCCAAAGAAGGTTTTTAAGATACTTGCAGTTCAAATCTAAGAAGCGCGATGTAGACTATTATGTGCGCTGCAGGAGGCACCACTTTATTCCTCTTGAGTTGCGTAGGACGGCTGCGGATATCACTTACTTAATGAACATATGTAACGGCCGTGTTGATAATTCCCAACTTTTAAGTAATGTCCGCCTACGAGTCCCCAACAAACAGAATCGAAAGCGCCCCTGCTTGCACCTGCCGTTGACTCGCACGAACTACCGTCGGAACTCGTTCTTCTGTAGGGTGGCAAATAGGTTCAATGAGATAGTTAGCGCTCACCCGCATGTAGACCTATTTTGTACCAACCCTACTGCTGTAAGAAAACTGATTGCAGGTGATTTCACGCGTCAGACTCGTCGACCTGACATATAGTCAAATTTCTTCGAACTTCTTTCTATCCATTTTTTTTTCTCTTTGCTTCTACGTATAATTAAAATTTGTTAAATTTTATACCCCTTGGTTATATAGAGGTGAAAACTATAGGCTTTGACCAACTACACTGTATCTATGCAATTTATATATTTGTAAGCTGTTTGTTTTCTGAATAAAATAAAATAAAAATAAAATAAAATTAAAGCTATTTTTCAACAAAATATTTGACTAGAGTTTTCATCTCATTGGATACTTACTTTAGGTCTAAACTATCTCTAAACCAAAATTTAGCCAAAATTAATTCAGTGATTAACGTGTGAAAAAGTATCTAACAGACAGACAAACATCAGAGTTCTGAGTTACTCTGTCATTTATACATGTATGTTACCATTTGTTGCACTTTCTGAAATGCAACTCTATGAAACTGAAATATTAAGATTCGATTGATATGTATAAACATGTACATATTGTAGTCTTATACATGGCGATATGAAACTAAATAAATCTTCTACTTATACGTCTTTGGTCCCTGCGTTTAACTTTTAATGCTTTTCAAATAATTAAAGTATAAAAAGCATTAAAGTAGTTTACTTACCTACGTACGTCTAAGTATGTGAACACTAACAATACT